TTCTATCATTAGTTTATTCATTAGTTTTCTTTCCTTCAGAGGTCCTTAGAAGTAGAAAGTCTTTCATCACATATTCTCATTTATAGATTAAAGCCAATAGGATGAATCGTCATTTAAGAGATGTATGGTTTTTGTTTGGTATCCACAGGATTTTTGTTGAAGAAAAGTGGAAAAACAAATGGTTGGAGTAGGCGGTGGTTTGTTTTAAATGAGAAAACTGGGAAGGTTGGTGCATTTTGCCTTGGCTTTTTATTAAATCATCTCTTTCTGTGAGTAATATGATTTACTTTAAACTTATGATGCAGCTTGGTTATACCCAAAAACAAGAGGAACGGCATTTTCGTGGGGTTATCACTTTAGAGGTATGGAAGTGACCGTTGGTTTCTTGTGATGTGTTTCTGTTCTAATCATCAGGAGATTATCAATACCTTGCAAATTTATATGAAGCTGAAAGTGCATCAGGATTTTTGTTGTTTTAGTTGTCAGACTTGTTTTGAAGGGAGAGGATACTTGTATAATAGATAATTTATAGCTTCCCTCATTCACAACATCAAGATGTCTTGTGAGATTGGTGATCGATTATGTATTTTGATATCAGCTATTACAAATCTGGATTGGTATGCTATAATTTTGGATTTTACTCATAACTTATGGCCTGGAGTGTTGTTGATTGGGACTGAAGAGAACATTTTTTGTGATGTATGGATCTTGATAATGATTGCTTATATTAGAATAAATTTTGCTAGATTCTCTATGCCTATGGTTGCCCTCCTCATCGTTTGATTAATCCACCAGGAATGCAACATTGAGGAGGTTTCAGATGAAGAAGAAGGCTCATCAAAAAGTTCCAAGGACAAAAAGGCAAATGGACCAGATTCTGGAAAAGGATCCAGTCTTGTTTTCAAGATAACTAGCAGGGTTCCATATAAGACAGTTCTGAAAGGTAGTACTAATGTTGTAGGTTTTGCTTATTTAATGGAATGATTTTTTCTAGTTTACTGTGAAAATGATTTTCCGCGTTGCTCTGCATAAATTCCAATGATGTTATGGTATTTGAAACTGATAGAATGCTTAGTAAGGTTCTAAAGTGTTGATGAGGCAAAATTTTGAAAGTTGCTACTGAAAGTTTTCTTGTGCAAAATAAATTGGGCTTTAAGGTGGACTACTGTGCTGCTCTTCTACTCACTTTCAAATACATGCCTGTATTTATTTGCAGCTCACAGTGCCGTTGTGTTGAAGGCTGAGAGTATGGCTGAAAAGGTTGAATGGCTAAACAAGTTAAGAACTGTTATTGAATCTAAAGGAGGTCAATTAAAGGGTGAATCTGGTCTTCCCATGAACATGAGGGCAAGTCTATCTGATGGTTCACTTGTGAGTTGTTAGATGATCCCCATTTTTTCATCAGACAGTTCACTTGTGCTTGTTTTCATTTATTCAACCTTTAATCATCATTGATCAGCTGCCTATTTTCTGGTCCTTATTACACTTGCAGGATACAATGACAAGACGGCCTGCTGATCCAGAGGAAGAGCTTAGATGGATGTCTCAAGAAGTACGTGGTTATGTGGAAGCTGTTCTTAACAGCCTTGCTGCCAATGTCCCAAAGGTCTGTTTATTCTCTTTGATGACCTTGGTTTTCTTTTCTTTTTTCCCAATGCATGGTTTTCATCATCACCTCACCTCACCTCTTTTGTTGAGCAGGCAGTTGTTCTTTGTCAAGTAGAGAAAGCTAAGGAAGACATGCTTAATCAGTTATACAGCTCTGTTAGGTAGGTATTGGTACCACCTTGGCCCCCAGAATAGTGTGGAGATGCGTACCTGTTTCTCTATGATGTGTGTTTGATATAGTTCCCTTTCTGCAATAGGAAAAATATTCTTGTCTGATATTATTAGATAATTTCTGATAATGAGAAACACATTATGTAGATTATCAAACTGAAAATTAAGAAATTTTGTCTTTTTCATTTAATGTGGATGTGTTGGAAATCTTGGAATTCTAAAGAGAAACAAATTGACATCCAGGGTTATGCCAAGCACCCATTAAATGCATATCATAGTTTGTTTAAGCCAAAGGCATTCACTTTTAAAATGATAGTGACATCCAAACTTGTTAACAGCAATTCATCTTTTGGTTTATATATAGGAGTTAGGATCCACTAACACATGTCTAAGTCTTGCGTATATTTATATGCTGTTGATTGCCAAATCCAAACAGTTTGAAATAGATTACTGAATGTAGCACCAGCATTTTCAACTTTTGGATTTGAAAATCAAGGACTACATACATGTTTCCATATCATTATTGAACTTGTTTTAGTACAGGAGAATAACCTTCTCTACTTATGCTTCTTTGGATAGTGCCATAAGCAATGCTAGGATTGAAGAGCTGATCCAGGAGGACCAGAATGTAAAGCGAAAAAGGGAGCGTTGCCAGAAACAATCGTCAATTCTTTCAAAGCTTACAAGGCAACTGAGTATCCATGACAATCGAGCAGCTGCTGCCAGCAGCTGGTCAAATGGTGGTGCAGGTAGTTTTGGCTATGTAAAATGCTGCTTCATTTTTTTTAATGATAATATCACATTTTACTGGTTTTTGCACATAAACTTCAATTTTTTTTTCCTTGTTTGAGTACAGAAAGCAGCCCACGAGCAAGTGGACCCTCATCAGGTGATGATTGGAGGTCTGCATTTGATGCTGCTGCTGCAAACGGACCTGTTGATTCATCTAGGTATGGGTCTAACGGTCATAGTAGATGGAATAGTGATTCACCTCAAAATGGAGATGCAATCTCAGGTGCGAACTCCGGCAGCCGGCGTACTCCAAACCGGTTGCCACCAGCACCACCGCAAGGAGGTTCATCCTATAGATACTAGAGAAAAATCAAAACTGGCTTGTCATTCATCATGCATCATTCTTGCTGGGTGAGTGTTTACTCCTGCACACCCTGCCGTAGAGCATTTCTCGAGCTCAGATATATGTTGGTTTTAGAAGTATATGTAATTCTGAGATGTATTTTCCGATGCTATATATCAATTTTCCCCCTAAAGTTCTTTTAGGGATGATGGGTGGGGGGGACGTTTGGGAGGGCTTTCTTTGCATCTTTTTTTTTTTTTTTTTTTTTTTGTCAGATAGTTATAGATGTATTTGTTTGTGTTGAATCTATGAACAAAATATTTCTTTTCTCAAATCTTAAATCCTCTTATATTTACCTTAAGCCTATCAAGAACAGCCTGCAACTGGAATTATTGAATCATTTTCTCTCAGAGAATGTCAACTAAATTAACGAACTTACAACAATATAATATATATATTTATTTATTTAAAACTTTCCAATGAAAGAGTAAAATGTGCGTATACTTCATTGATTCAATAGCTGTTTAAAAAAAAAGAAAAAGAAAAAAGGGTGTGTGCCTCTATCAGGATTTATAATTAATGTTTGTTGCAAACTTGTGTTTATTTATATGTACATGACAGAGTTCAAGGGATTAAGCATTCTACAATGATTTGCATTCGCATAATGACCAGAGATGACTACTTGATGGCTATGGCTTCCTCTTCGGATGATAAACCATCAAACCAACCCTGCCTTTATTGTATACCCTCCTTGAAGGGGCCAGAATCGCGTATCAGTTTCATAATCAGATTAACCTGCAAGTGTACAGTAAAGTCACCATAAATCTCTCCAGCTAACTGTGATTGTAATCAATATATGCACCTGAATGTACTAGAATCTAATGTAGAAAATATTTCTATGCCTGTTAAGGATTTATAGACACCATACCATTATATTTGTATTTGTAACTAATTCAGATAGTACTTCCTAAAACACCATGACATCTGGATATGTACCTGTGTTGATTCTCGAACCAGGAATTCCTCTATGGCTTGCCTGATTCTATCATCAACAAGGTAATGGCAGCTATATGTTGTCACAGGAAGGTATCCCCGCTGAACTTTATGCTCACCCTGAGCTCCTGCCTCCACTGTGTTGAGATTGAGTTCAATGGCTGCTTCAATCGCCTGCACTATCAAAACAAGCTTTCATTAATAAAATCAGGTAAAATGAACATTAACTTGTTTTTACACAAAAGGAATATCCCAATTATGCCTAAGTTGGCTGATTTTCAGGCCAAAAAAAAAAAATTATGGCTGAGTTTTTATTATCACAACTAGTAATGTAATGGTAAATAAAGTTCCAGAAGAAAATAGCACCCTTAAGATGGTATCTGAACATTTACTTGACTCTTTTGTGGTAGTATGGCAATGTTATGCATGCATGGGATCCATAAAACTAACCTAACCCTTCAAAATTATAAAACAAAGTTCAAATTCAACTCAAAAGGTTATGCCAAGCGTCCACATTAGCTTCCTATTGCACAATTGATGAAGCTTCTTCTTGTAATAAAATAGAAAAATAAATAGGGTCGAACCTGGTAATAACAGGCTTCAAAATGCAAATTGGGATAATAGACACGTTGGTCACATCCCCACAGGCGTCCAAATAAAGTATCACCTCCTATGAGATTTAGAGCTCCTGCAACAAGTTCATTCCCTTCTTCAGCTACTACAAGTAATACCTGATCTCCCATCTTTGATCCCATGTCATGAAAGAAATCCCTTGTCAGATATGGGCTGCCCCACCTATGCAGGAAAATTGGAAAACTAATGGTAAGACAGATTCAGAAAATTTATTTAATCATATATATAAATTTGATGAAAAGCCAAAAGAGGATCACAAAGGTAAGAACAAACTTATTATCTGTTGTGTTCCTGTAGAATCTATAGAAGGAATCCCAGTGTGTAGCCTGCAAAAGACAAAGCAATGAAAAAGAAAAGAGTGAAGAAAAAGGGGTGAGATTTACAACATTTTCCCCATTTATGGTCACTGAGCAAATTAAAAGAGAAGTCACAAGTTTTACAATACCCATGGCCATGCCAATGACAGCTTGGATTATGTTTAAACTGAGTCAACTTGAAGGGCTAATGAAATGAAACTTATGACAACACTTAGCAAGTAGTCTGCTATTCATTATTTCACATACTCCCTCTTTCTCAAAATAACTGTCATTTTTAACTTAAAATTTGTTCCAAATTAATTGTTACTTTTTCAAACTATAACAGACACAAATATTATTTTCCTGGTTTAACCCTATAGTTATTCCTTAACTTTAATCACTTACCCTATCACCAAAATCTTCTCTTTCTCTTTATCTTTTTCTTAAGGGTGATAAAAGGTAAATACATAAATTGTCCCCAACTTCTTAATCAGTGAAGAAAAGTCAAATAATGACAGTTATTTTGGGATGGAGGGAATGAAACATAAATTCAGTATGGGTTTGGTTAGACGGTTTTCTTTTCTCCATAGATAGTTACATAGAAGAAAAATATTTGCCATTTGAGAAATGAATTCTTTCATAATATCTATATTAGGAAGAACTGTCACACAGTACAGCAGGCCAGTGAGGAAGCACCTATGGCTACCATCCAGAAATCCCTAATTGGTGTGCAAATTATATTAGTTTAGAACTATACATTTACAAGGTCAAGCATAGTGAATTTTATCTGCATTTTTCCTGAATATGTCAGAGAATAAGCAAATAATAATACCAACCACTTGCTATTTTAACCGTGCAATGCCATTTTTTGGGGGTAAAAGGTAAAAGGTAAACTAACAAGTATAAACTCCAGCTGAAGTTGAACACGTCCATGCAAATGTTATCAAGATCATGAAACAAGCTTAAGGGCATATCTCGTACAGAACAAGAAAAATGTAAGCCAGGAATTAGTTACATATCAAAATAAATTATTGAAATATTAGCCATTTTCTGAACTTATTAGGATGTACCTTTATTTCATAACCCCTAAGCCGCTTCATGGTCAAGTTTTGAGCAGAAATCTGCATGTAGAAGGTTTACTCAGATAACTAGCAAATGTAATATTCTCAAGCAAATAAAGTAACAAAAGTAAGTCATGGAAAGCACGGTCCTGTTCACTAATCAACCGTCTCCTAAATCTCCATACATGATCTACAGGTCAGAGATACTCAACCCCATAGACTGACAGCAAAAGGCAAACATGAAAGCAGCAAACAGCAATCCCAATTAACTGAAGAAAATTTCTTTTAAGTGTTAAAATTTAATTAGAAATTTAAACACAGTAATACACAGATATTTGGCTCAATTATTTGGAGAAGACAAACCTTTTTACGCTCTTGGCGAATCTTTTTTCTTTTACTATGCCTCATATCCATCAAGAACTCATCAAAACTGTGGCACATAAACAGAAGTTCATATTCCTTCTACACTCAGACATCAAAACAGAAAGAAAATTATTTTTGAGGATTGTAAGACTAGACATTGACATCACTAGAACAAATAAACTTAATGTCAAAGGATATGTAGATTGCAAACTTGAAATGGAAAAATGATATTTAAAACTTAAAAGCAGACAACTACTCCACTTCATAGGATATCCTAATTGATTGACTGAAACTCCCCTGATTATCTTCTTTTTACAAACCATTTTTGATAACACACTGCATATGTACAGAAATGGAAATTAGCCAACTTTCAAGGAGTGCTGCCAAAATTAAAGCATTTTATAAGTTACATACTCTTTCCTATTCCTATAAACAATGGCCCCTTTTCCATTTCAAATGTCTGGTGATGAGTTTTTTGAATATTAAAAGGAATATAAAAATTGTTCAGCTTTCCTTTTCAAATGTTCATAATATCACAGATAAACATGAAGCTGAGACCACGAAAAAAGGTTTTTACTAATCACTTACTCTTTATAGTTTCGATTTTTCCAGTGGTACTGCATTCCAATCCTTTGTAGGAATCCTTTGTCCTTGAGTTTGTGCCATTCATTTTCAGATGGGAAGGTAATGTGCAAAGAAGAAACCTGAGACTGCAAAATTTTAACACGTTAGAAAGGGTTAGCAAAATCTTGCCATTCAAAATGCAATAACTAAAATCTTGATGGTAGGGTCTGGTATAAAGAAGAAAAGTTTGAACTGCAATGAGATAAATGGCAATTATAATCTACTCTAACAGCAAAATGGAAGGGGCAGGGAAATTTAATTCATCAAATTCATATGCTCAGCGTTCATGTGAGAAGGAGCTTTAGAGCTTTAAGAATAAAAAGTAAAAACAAGCAGATAAGGTAAGGAATAATTAGAGTTGCAATCATGGGAAAATGGAATCACATCCTTAAAGCAAAGGATTATCTTTATCCATGCAATACCTTGGCTGCCAGATCCTTGAGAGCAGAGACCATAATGTCAAAGACTTGATCTTTAAAACAAGTATTGCGGATTAAGATCCTTGGACCAGTAACAGGGGTGAAAGGCACACAGCATTGAAGTTTTGGATAGTATCTTGATCCAAGACTGTAGTAGGCATCAGCCCAGGAATGATCGAAAACAAATTCACCATAGGAGTGGCTACACACCCAAATTGAAACCAATAGATTAGAAAATAGGAAATTTCTGAAAAAAAAAAAATAAATAAATAAGAAGAAGAAGAAGAAGAAGAAGAAGAGAGCATAGCAGATGGTAAACCTCTTAAGATAGAGTGGAACAACAGCTAAAATATTTTGAGATTCATCCTTAGCAACAATATGGCAGGGCTTCCATCCAGTTTCCTGAAAAGTCAATTTAAAGTGAGAATCTTTACATGGAGTGGTACTAATAAAAGAAAGAAAGAAAGAAAGAAAGTGGTGCAGTGGGAGTGTAATTATTAACCAACCTGGACAGCGCAACCAGTCTGTTCTAAACTTGAAAGAAAGGCATGGGTAAGAAAAGGATTAAAGTTTTGAGCACCGGAGGCATCCAAAGTACAAGCATCCCAGGCATGGGGTGAGACCTCCAAAATTGAAGAAACAACAGAGATGGAGAGCTTTTGAGGTGTTGTCTGAGAGGGGCAGGGTGAAACAGCAATAGAATGAGGTTTAATTATATTATACTAACCTTAACCAAATAATAAAAGAAGAGAAACACAAAGAAGTGGGTGAAGAAGAAGACACCTGCTGGGCAGAAGAAGAAGGGGGTAAAGTAAAATCTCTTGAAAAATCCAATTGCAGGGATTTGTTGTTAGATCCCCAAAATAGTGCAGTAATTGTAGAGGCAGAGACTGGATTCCTGACGCTTTGTCCAACTGATGATTTCCCTTTCCCCTGAGAAAGCATCAATCAATCAAACAGACAGACAGACAGCAATTAAAAATTAATTTCCACGCTAGAAACAACAACAACAACAACAACAACAAAAGATTCGCATGAATGACACAAAAGAGGCAACTGAAGTTAATAAAATATATAGATAGATGAAACATGAAAGCGGTACGCATGTCGGTGGTTTAACGGTAATCACTAATCAAACAAAGCAAGACAGGTAAACGCAGGCAGCCACGGTCTTTGGAATGCGCTTACAAAGTTAGGGGGAAATTGGCCGAGGAATGGGGAAGGCTTGCAGTGGCAGCAGTAAGTGAGTGCTGCTGCTGCCGCCATGGATTGGCCACACAACACGCTACACGCTGCAGGCTGCACGCCCAGAGAATAATAAACAACAAAGAGAAAGAAAAAAAGAAAGAAAGGTACCGTTGGCTTTTATAACGACAAATTGATTAAGTACAAATCAAGCCCAATCACCAAAAGCCTCCCCGACTGGACTGGACTGGACTGGACATTGTAAAGCCCATAACACACTCCCAATCCATGTTTCTTCTTCTTGTTTTCAAGAAGGAAGAACAATTTATTATTATTATTATTATTAACTAAATTTACTATTAATATAATATACAATATAATTGCACTGTATATTAAATCAATTATATTTGGTTAACGATTTCAATTATAGTTGATTAGTGTAAATAGAATGTTTATGCATGTTTGAGTTCTTAGAAAAACTTCATAAAAGTAAAGTTGATTATCTTAATAATAAGCATGCTAGTATTTTTTGCTAGAGATCCCATGTACAGAGCTTTCTACTTAATTCAACAAAATATATGCTTGGAACAATTGAGCTATGCCATTTTGGCTAAACTTTCACATCCTTTGGTACAGAATTTGTTGATGAGTGTAGGTGATGTTTATTTTCAGCAATTTAAAGGAAGTAGGTCAATTGTTGCTTCCATCTTGAACCTCTTCCTCCATACAAATCATTCCATTGTTTCAGCTC